TCAAAATAAGAAACAACTACAAAAAAAACTATACGTATGACACTTCTTAATAATCAATATATATATTGTTATAATTTTAGCCATTTATTCAAATTAAATATAATCTTGAGCTAGAAAACCTTAATTGCATTACCACAATAGAAGGATGAAGGATAACATTGTCAGATCTCTACAGAGGAATAAAGGTGCATTCAAGGAGAAAATTAAACCCACTCTGAAATAATTTATTTCACAGTGGGTTTTATTTTCTCCTTGAAAATGAAGAGACAGTCTTAACTAGAAATTCGACTTGAAACCTCTAGAATGGCATGAGTGGATGGAGGGGTGGGGGTGCTGGCTGATAGCATTTTGGGTTTACAAACCAAGGGGGCTTGGTTTGTAAACGTTCCAAACTATGTTTGTAAACGTTCCAAGCGATGCCAAACTAAAAGCATCCGTGCATGCGTTCAAGAGGAACAAGATAAATTTGTAGGCCGACATGTTCTCTTTGTGAATCGCAACAAAAAGAAGGAAGGTGCTAAATTCCCTTGGTTCAAAGCTGTGGCGTCAAAATTTCCTCTAAACTTGTAGAGCGACATTTCACTCTAAGCTCTCTCGGGCGATGTATTAGTAGTAGAAATCTATGAGATCTAAACTGTGTGTTATAAATTACGAAAAACGTGTACTCTGCAAAAAAAGTCATTGATACGACTGTTTGGGTGCCTGACGGCCGAGTGGCTAGCCCTCTGGCAGTCAATACCACAGGTCTCGGGTTTGAGTCCCAGCGGTGGCATGGAATTTTGTAGTGGCTCAGAATCCACTTTAAGCCGTAGGTTGGTGTCTCATATGACCGTAGAGCGCCACAGAGCCGAATCAGATTTCTCACCCACATCATTCCCAAACTGTATAAAGGCAACTCAGCTCTAAGCACAGCGATGTGGTGTGGTGTAGTAGTAAGATACGACTGCTTGGAATTCTTTCTACGGGGATGGTGAAAGAAGACAATCTTCCAGTATTCTGTAGAAATTGAATCATTGGACAGTCGCTGATTGAGTAACTTTCACTAAGATAATGCTTTCGAACACACGATAACTGGACATGTATCGTGCTGCAAAGTGTCCTTATTGAGATGTGGCTCACCAAATATACTGCGTGACTTGCTCTTTCTTCTATTATACAAACTTTGAAGACATTCAATGTACTACTGCAATTTTTTTTTATCCTGAGCACTTGTGTTTGTATAGGAAACAGCCTTAGGTTTCAAAAGTTATCAAATGCACTATTTTATAAAAAAAAAAAAAGTAAGAAAATAAAAATATTGCATTAGGTTTCTTTAATCATTATTACGTATCATCATCAGTTTTTTTCCACTGACATTGGGAAATATATGTAGATTTAATTTTTTTTCAAAATTAAAATTATACCAAATAAACGTAAACAAAAAGAAAGATTACAATTTGTTCAAGAATTATTCGTCTCTTAACAACAATTAAAATAATAACTTGGTGACTGTCAGTATTAATAGCGTTTCTTTCTTTTTTTATAAAAAATTTTCAAGACCCATTTTAAAAAAACTCCTTTTACCGAGTCATTTTCGTGCGTCCATTACGGATCAAAATCATTCATTCCTTCACAAAACAGAGCTCCTTCAAAAACTGTCCATTGAGTAATACATGTTCAAAATAAATCCATTCCTATCCAAAAATATTTTATTCGTGTAAGCATCAATACATAAAAAGAAATTCCATACATTTTTTTCCATAAATATATTTTTTTCAATTTTTCGATATAGCGTACAAATTGAATTTAAACAATTCTAATAAATTTATAACACAGAGGAAAAAAAACATGAACATTCAAACTAAAATATCACTCCCGTCAAAAGCATTGTCAAATACAAAATTTCAATAATAAACGAATTTTGAATCTCGAAGCATTTTGCTCAAACTTACATAAAAACGTGACAGTTTTAACAGACTGCGAAATAACAATTCATAAATAGATGAATGAATATTGAATCCAAATATGGATGCACAAAAACTGTTATTTCGATAGTTTTGTTAAAATTCAAATTTTTTCTTCCTAATTTTGGTGAATTGATTTTTTTTAACGCATGTTAAAATCAAAATTTAAAAATTTAATTTTTTTAAATCATTAAAAATAAATGAATCAAATTTTCAAAGGTGCTTTCGTTATACATAAATAATGATATGCATATGCTGTGAATAAAATTGGACTTTTCACTGGGAAAGTTATAACGATAACATGAACGTTTTGAACATGAAAACATGGACGTTATTTTATATAGAAGTTAGTCCATTAACTATAGCGGGTGCATTTTCAAGAAGTTCATGGATATAATCAAAGCATTTCATTTAATGAACTCAATTTCTTTAATTTATCGATTTTAATTCTTTTACTATTATAAAAAAAAAAAAAAAATTAAAAAAAAAAAAAAGCTTTTAAAAGAATCTACTGACATAAATGGACAGCAATCGTTATAAATAAAAACCTGACGCCATACGCGCATTAAAACTCTATCGGCTAAAAAAAAAAAGACAGAGAGAGAGAGAACAAAGATAATAGGAGAGAAAGAACTCCATAGATCATCCTGTCTTCAAAACGACAGGAATTGAGAGGAGGGGGAGATTGCGTCGGTTTCCGCTGTACGGCGCTGCTGTCTGACTGCTTCTCTCCGCATCTCGGATCTCCACCGCTCATACCGTTATAGATCGCCATCCTCTGCGGACGCATGAACCGACGCTCTGCCACTACCAATCGACTCTGACCACCACAAAAGTAAGACCATGACTTCTGCGGAACAGAACGGAACCATGAACCGGGTGCCCACGAGCCCCCCGGGGTCGCCCACCAAGCCGCCCCCCAAGTACAGGGAGCGCGAGCAGTGGGGCAACAAGATAGAGTTCGTCCTCTCGTGCATGGGCTTCTGCATCGGGCTGGGAAACGTGTGGAGGTTTCCCTACCTCTGCTACAAGAACGGAGGAGGTGAGTGCTTTCTTGGCTCTATTCATCAAATGCGCCCAATTCGGAAAAGGTTCCATTAGAACAGGGGTCTCCAAACTACGGCCCGCCAATGTCATCCATCCGGCCCGGACAGCGAATAGCTTATTGTTGCTGTAATAAGTTGGATAAAAAAACACAGAATGATAATAACTCGGTTTTAGTGACTTGCTAGGTGAAGGCTTAATGACAAGCATAATGCGCAGAAAATTTAACTTAAGCATAACAACTAACTGGAAATTATAGATAATGGCAGAAAAATTAAAATGGTTTTGGCCCTTTGTACTTACTGGAGTAAACAGTATGGCCCCAAGGCTGGAAAGTTTGGAGACCCCTGCATTAGAATGTCTGTGGACAGAATGGAAGAAATTGTAAGCAAATCATGAGCAAAATCTATACAGCTGACACATGTAATTTTGTTTTTTGTATGTGTCTATTACAAATATCATGAAAAAAGATTTTAATTCTTCATTTTTAATTAAATTAGATTCGCAATTTTTATATTAAAATCAAAGGTTCATAACTTGCAATAATGTGTTTTGCGATTCTTACGAATGGGAAGGTTTAGTTTGTATAAACTAATGGACAAAGGCGAAGGTAGTGTCGTTATTACTTAATTTATTATTAAAAATATCAACTTCAAGGAATTAAACATAAGAGCGAGATTAAAGTATTTAAATGTTAGATGATAATTAGTCTAAGCCATAGCTCAGGAGTTCTAAATATAAAAATATAAATTTGAGACAAAAGAGATCAATGAAAGACTGGACATTAAGTGACATCTGCTAGTGTCTGTCACTAATCAAAAAGCGATAAAATTCTCTTTGTAGGTGGGTATTTTCTAAAAATTAAAAACTACAAAACTTAAAGGTTTAAATTATTTTTTTTATCTGACCGAAATTACAAAAAAATACTAAGTACAGCCTTTTTTTAATTAAATAAAAGAAATCGTAATCTTAAAAAGCAAAGTATTCCTAATCCATTAAAAAAATGAATATAAATACAAATCTTTTGTGATATTTTATGTATATAATAATATGGTTATGTAAGTTGCGTTATAACATTATAGGTGCTTAATTGTTGGATGAAAAACTGTATGTATCTTTTTGTGTGTTTGTGTATGTATGTGAGTATTTGTTATGCTAGGTTATATTTGCCAGTATACAAAGTAAGTTTATGAGTGGATGCGTGTGTTAAGTCTTTTAGCGTCGTATTGTTTTGGCTTTTGAATAATGCTATGTACAGGAAAGCCAAATTTAAATGAATTATTTATTTATATTATTACATTACATATCCGCCAAAATTTGAATAAAAAAATTCATATTATTTGTTTCTTAAAATAATATTCAGCGTTAAAGTTCATTTCGAAATTCTGAAGTAAAAAAAAAAAAAAAAAAGAAAGAAAATAAACACATAGAAACACATAAAAAAAGAAATAAAAACGTAGCCTAACAACGATAAGAAACCCATAAAACAATCGATTTTTTTAAATAATCGATTCACCTGTTTTTTTCCCCACCTATTCTGATGGGATTTGTAATTTCCCAGTGAAATCTAATGACGACGATAAAGCGATCTGTAAAAATGTTTCACTGCACGCTACTTTGAAGTGTAAATTATGAATGGGTAATCTTCTTCAGTAAAAATACTGTTGAAGTAGTCATTGAATTAAAAACATAAGCTTTGATTTTTAAATCTTATTTGTTGCATTCATAAGACGTTTATTTTAAATAATATATTTGTTAATTAAATATAACATAAGTGTAGGATTCGGTTTCATGAAAAAATAGCATTTTAATCAAAAGTGTTCACACTAAATAATGATGATCTACAATTATTTAACTATTAATTATAATTAATTAAGCTTAAAGTTTTTAAATGAAAATAATTATTTATAGTGGAAAAGCTAAAAAATAACTGTCATTTCAATACTATATTAATATGACATTTAAAACAAAAGAAATCCATAAATATTTTATATATAGTATATATATCTTTGTTTCTCGTTAGATCACCGAAGTTAAGCATCATTGGGCGCGGTCAGTACTTGGGTGGGTGACCACCTGGGAACACCGCGTGCCGTTGGCAAATTTGGGACCTGAATGGCCGAGTGTCTAGCGCTCTGGCGCTCGGTGCCACAGGTTTCGGGTTCGAATCCCGGCGGTGCCATGGATGTTTGTAGTGGTTCGGAATCCACTTTAAGCCGTAGGTCCCGGTCTCATATGACTGTAAGAGCGTCACGGAACAAAAGTCAGGCTTCTACCTACGGGTGCTCCATCACAACAGAAGCTGCTTCCTTCCCCTTCAATCATGAGTCCATATGGGCTCGTGGGCTTGGCCAGCCAAGTGGGATAAGAAACAACAACAAAGCAACAACATATATATCTTTGTTAAAATAAAAATAAAAAAATTTAACAATGTTTAAAATGTTTTCGTGTTGTTTTAATGTTAAAATTTATGTATAGTAGTTTAAATATTAGATATAACAGTTAAATATGTAAGCTTAGATAAAATAATTTAAGTATTTCAGTAATAACTATTTATAAAAAGAGAAACTGAAACATGTTAATTAAGTTATTTGTATATTTATTATAGTATATTTTAAAGAATAAGTGTAATGTATTAATGCAATATAAAGTTGCGATTATTATAATTTCTGTGAAATATTTGTTTTAAATATTAAATATTTTTTTTTATTAATATTATCACTTCGAAATTTAACAAGTTATCTTTATAGAACATTTTTTATGCATTTTAATAAATTATATTTTTGTCAATTCTGTGTTGAAATAAAAGTCATAATTTAGCAAATTATATTAGAAAATAGGACAAAATTTATTTAATTTATGGATTATTTTTGTACGAAAAGTGAACATAATTTGCTTAGATATATATAAAAAAATAATTTAAATTTAAATTCAAATTTCAACGAAAATTAAAAAAAAAAAAAATAATAATAATAATATAAAAACACATTTTCTAAAGTCAATTCCGTCTTTTTTTTCACTCTATTGCAGAAAGTCCTTTATCAATAATTTTCATTCATTCTTTTAAGTTTATCTGGCGCCATCTATTGGTAGATATATGCAATTTAAATCTAAAAAAAACTAAAATTAATGAATTAAATTTAATGAATGAATTAATATGTGAAAAAACTGCATTCACATCCAGTGTCATCCACTACAAGTTAAAAAAGATGTATTTGAACTTGAGAGGATGAATAAAAAGCGTTTTATGAACGACTGAAAATGTGAACAAGATATATATAGGGAGAGTGTGAGCTAATAGGAGGAATTGAAAAAAACGACGGTTATTTGAAATAACCAAGAAAATCCTGATGGCACCCTTAGGGTCCTAAAATACCTGTTTTGCAGAAGAATAAAATAACAAGGCGAGAGGGGAAAACTTGACAAGCAGTTTAGAAAATAGTCAATCAGAGATGAGGAGGAAGTAAGGAAAAAAAAAACCACATAAACAGTCAGGCATCTACCAGATGAAGGGTGTTTAAAGTAATATAAATTAAAAAGATTTATGCAATAAAAAATGCAATAAAATTTATGTTGCCCATAAATCAACTTGAACCGTAAACGTTCCAATCCATTACAATTAACAGAGATCGATCGGTGAAAAGTAAAAAAAAAGTCAAACCTCTATAATTTTAAGGTCGATGTGTTGTGTCACATAAATAATTCATAACCCTCTCTTAGTACAGAAAAAATAAAAATAAAGAACAATAAAAAAAAGAGATTCATTTCACTTCGAATCCGAATTTCGATTCACTGATGGGGGCTGATCACGTGACGCGAGGCGCCATTGATGCTGGAAGGATTCATTAGACGCGTTATTAATCATCGGGATGTGCAATTATCATTGACATTTAAAACTGGCCTCATAAAAATGTCTTATTAATAGACACCATCATGTTTCATGAAATCCATTACAAAAAAAATTAAGAAATATTTTGATCATCAGTAAAACGGTTATTTTTTGTTCAAAAAAAAAAAAAAAAAAAAAAATTTAGAATTTGTAAGTTGAGGTATTTATAACTCTGATGTCATTGCAATCGTGCTGCCAATCGCTGCTGGTCTTAGAAGCCAATTAAGATCCCACCTGATAAGAAGAAGAACTAAAATTTCACTGAGCAAAACTCTCATAAGACCAGTGTTAACATATGCATCTGAAACAGGGTCACGAACAGCAAGAGAAGAGAAAATGTCGGCAATCTTTGAAAGAAAAGTGCTGCGAACTATTTTTGGTGGTATCCATGACAATGGAAATTGGTTGAAGAAGATACAATTTTGAACTTTACAATCTTTTTAGAGATATTGACATTCTAAAATGTGTTAAACTGAACAGAATGAGATAGGCCGGTCATCTCATGAGAATGGAAAGTGATAGAGCTGCTCTGAGGGTTTTCAGTGTAACCCCTTTTGGACAGCGATCCAGGGGAAGACCGAAAAAGAGACTGTTTAGATTTTGATTTTAATGTTAAGATAAAAAAATGGAGGTCCACGGCCAAGAGGAGAACAGCCTGGCTGGATCTTTTAAAGAAGGCCCACAACGGGCTGTCGAGCCAGTTATGATGAAATATATTGCTATCATTATAATTTCATATTTCGGAATATAATTTATTTTTACTAAAAAATGACACAATTATAATATCGAATTAGGATTATTTTTTATTTTTTACACATTCTTAATTTTTATCAACAATTATGCTTTCTGTACTATTCAAAAATAAAGAATTTATTAAATTCAAATCTTAAATAAATAAAAAAAAAACGATACTATAATAAATAAATAAGAACTATATAGATCGTAATAATAAATTTTTCTTTTACGTTTTTACTATCGATATTACCGATACCAAATTTATTATTATCGATAATGTTATTTTTAAATAAATTAATTTCATGTAACTTTCAAACCAAGAAGAAACATTAAAAAAAAAAAAATGAGAGAAGCAGTTTTATAATAAATTGTATTTTGAATGGCGTAACTTAAAAAGCGTTTAAAGAGATTGATTTGTATCAGAAAATATATTCTCTGTTAATAGGCATATAAAGTTATATGAAAGTAATATTTATTCGAAATAAATATTTTTTTTTATAAAAAAAAAATTTAAAAAAAAATATCATCAGTGCGTCGTAAATAATTAACTGTCAAACAATTCCAAATTTGAATAAATCAATAAACCATAATTTCATTTCATTTTTCTATTATCACTAATATTATTAACTTATTAAAATCAATTATAAATAATTTGTTTAGAGGAAAAAATCTAAAGGGACGTTTGTAAAAAACAAAAATTCGATTGCTTGTTTTCTGGGTTAATCTAAGAGAATGAGTCAACAATTATTCAGAGTGCGAAAATTGTTATTCTTTGCGAATAGGAACGCTAATTGCTTGTAAAATGCCAGCTGCTCGTGTGATGTGTTCTTTTTCTTCCCAATATTCTCACCTATACTAATATTTTCGGGTGCCTTGTGATGTTACCGAACACTTTACAATGAGTGACAACTTGAACTTTTTGTCCTAGGAATTAAAATATATTGATTAAGTAGCCACCTTACATTATTAAAATTAATAGTTTTAAAAAAACTTAAAAACACGCTTTTCGAGTTAACAATTGATATCGAGCACCCCACGCTTTTAGAACAGTGACACTAATTTTCTCGTCAGTCATTTTATTCTTATGTTAACAATTATTTTTTACTTTTTAGTTTGATTCACTCTAAAAGCGTGTTTGTTAGTTTTTTTAAACTATTCATTTATTTTTTACTTTTTAGTTTGATTCACTCTAAAAGCATGTTTATCAGTGTTTTTAAACTATAATATTTAAATGAGGTCCCGGTACGGAGGAATGGAACTATAAGACTTACAATAATGTAATTGTCAGTAACACAAAGGTTAAATGCGAATAGTCCGTTGTGCCACTGTCCCACGTAGGTTTGAATGTCTTTACTGAATACTTTCATTCTACATGGGCTAAATTGATCTTCATAAGTTAAAATAAAATCTCTAATCCTGGCGATCCTAATCATGATGAGATAATAAACTTATTAAAATATTTTAATGTCGTCGGTTCTTGATAAGTCTACAACGTTTAAATTAAATCTGATCGCTTAAAGTAGAGCAAAATCGAGCCCAAAGAGTCAGTTACATACAAACATACAGATGAAACTAATATAAAAGCGTATTAAAAAGAATCAACTGTTTTCTTTCTCAAAGATGCCTGTAAATGTTTCTTTGCAGCTTAAATAATGTGAGGAGAAGCAGATCTCCAGGGGAAAAAGTTAGTTACATACATACATACAAACATACAGACATACAAACATACAGGTGAAGCTAATAAAAGCGTATTAAAAAGGGTGAGATTTTGTGATAAAATAGCATAGGTATTCCATAACTGGCATGTCTATTGCCATTTTTCAGTGGTGGAATCATCGTATCAAAAGCTCCAATAAAAATTAATTTGCAAAAGACTCTGAACTAACATAAAAATTTGTGGATTCTATTTAATTTTCTCTTTATTTTTATTATAAAGAATTTCAATTGAAGAGTTAATATTTGAGTCATCCAACAAGTTATAGGAGCACAGATTAAAACCTTTTATGGGGACAATTAGAGATTTTTACGTCCTATCAAGAAAGTTATGAAATTTTCAGAAAAATAAAGGAATGTTAAAAATAATAAATTTAAAAAAAAAAATTTGAGATTGAAAACTCAACTAATGGCTAACATTTACTTTAATTTTTTTTTAAATAATCTAATGGTGATGTATTCACAAAACGCCTGCATGGTATTTAGTAACTGTTTTGAAGATCATAAAATGAAATATTTTATTTGAAAAATTTAATGCCTTAAAATTCGAATAATTATGAGATAATCTTTCAGTGTTCTAAAGAAACCATTGAAAAGAAAATTGAATTAGAATTCAGGACTTTTTATTTCTTAAATCATTTAAAAACAAAGATGCGGCTATCTTAAATAAATATAAATTATCTTCATCTATTATGTTATTTTCAGCAGAAAGAATACCGAAACGAACAATTTGTATGAATGCGAAGTCTATTCATAGCAG